TTCTCATATATTTCTTTTATACATATATATTTTTTCATGCATTTTTCATGGATCCATCCTTCGGTTTTGTTTTCGGACGCTGGCATTGCAAATTGTCAAACCGTTATGCAGTGGGTGAAAGTGGCCGGAGCCTGGGGCCTGGGGCTTGAAGCTTTAGTTGAACTCCAATTGAATGCGTTGGCGTTGCCATTTATTGTGAAATATTAAAATTATACAAGCAGCTCCTTAACAAGACGCGGCCAACATTGCGAAGATCGCGGCGAGAAATGGATCTGCATTTTATGCAAAAAAAACTGCAGCCCAAATCCCAACTCTCAGTTCGCAGTTCGAGTCCCACTGCGGTTATCGCCATGACAGCTGTCAATCAGTTGCCAGCTGAGCAAAAAAATAAATAAAATAAGAAGAAATACACTTATTTATATATATATATAAAAGCAAAGACTGGTGCATCACTGTTTCGAGAAAGTTGGCAGCTTTAATTGCGACGGTCATTCAATTAGTGGTACAAGTGATTTTATAGCGCCCGCTGCCAATTTATTAACAAAAATTCACCAACTCAAGCTGCTCTTCTTCTTGGGCACTCCGAATGTGGCCAAAATGCTTGGTTACCTGGCTCGGCTGGGTGTTGCCCCAGAAATTAACGGCCTTAAAAGGACAGCTGCAAGTGCTGTGGCATAAATATGAGGCACATTTGGACAATTACTTTATTTACGCACTGTATTTACGTTGATTTATACAGTCACCCGTGCACAGTCAAGAGTCGAATTGTTAATTGCACCAAAATGCAGATATTTTTTATTGTTGTTTGTTGTTTATGCTGCTGCTCTTGCGAATTCCCGTTCCAGTTTCAGTTTTGGTTTTTGGCTGCTGCCAAAATAAAAAGATAAACAGCTACAGTTTGGGTTTTTTCTCTTCTTTTTTCGGGCTGGCATCAATAAAGTGGGCGAGAGTTTTGGGCTGTGAGACCTTGTTGGCCGACTGTCCTGCGTTACCTGCACTGCCAAACTCATTAAAACGAATCCTTTTAATGGCCAAAAGTTTGCCGCTCCTGATGCCGCTGCTGCTGCTGTTACTGCCATAATCAGTAAAATTAAGGCCGTGGCAGCTGAAGGCTGAAAGCTGCTCGTTGCCAATGTCGTTAGCATTGGGCCAGAACATTTTACAAAAAGCTATAAGCACTAGTTGGCTATGTTTATACTTCTTTTTTAGCAACCATTTTTTGTGACCTTCAGCTTACATTTTAAATACTATTTTTCATTAAAAGCTGATGACCAAAGATAATGCTTTATACATGATTTATTACCTCGAATTATGTATTCACTTTTTTCGTTTACAAATTTCTTTAACATATATCGCTTATAAGTATATTTCTCTTATATAACTGAATAAGTTCTTATGCATTGCATTACAGAGCTTGATTTTATATAAATATTTTAAAATAGTATTCATAAGGGCTCAGCTATGAACCGCTCTGTAAACTGTTGGTAAGATTTCATAATACAAAAATTGTCCCCTAACATACACCCATACACCCACACTCCCGCTCACCCACACACTTGGTTTAACAGAGTTATGTGCTTGGATTTAATATTGGCAACAAGTACTCAGAGGAGCAGCTTAAAGGCGACAACTTGTGTGTTATACGCGACGCAACTAACAACTTACTTAAACCAACAAACGAGCTGCAGAGAGAACACACAGCCAGACTACAGCACACAGACACACATACACTGTCATGTGACACTCAAAAGGCCCAAAGCAGCAGCTGAGCGACATAAACGTGCAGTTGGCAGTCAGCTAAATAGGTTGAAGGATAGGTTGGGGGTGCCAGAGCTTGGGGTGGGGGCTGGGTGTTACACTAGCTGGCTGCTTCTTCGCCAATGTGGGGAGCCCAAGCTGCACTCTGGCGCACTAATTACGAAAACTCAGCACGTTTTGCCATGCTGTGTGCTTGGCTGCCCCAGTGCCCCACCGCTGCGGTGGCAAGGCGAAGCGGGTGATCGCCTCGCTGCCTGAGTGGTTAAATGCTGCAGTAATAGCGGCAACATGCAACGCGACAGTTGGCTGGCGGTGGCACAAAAGTTAAAACATTGCGGCGGCAATAAAAACAACATTCGCTTTGGCTTTAGCTTTAGCCCAGCACAGCTGGGGGATTTGTTGGGCTGCTGGGCTGCGCTGGCCGTGGCTTTGGCTGTGTTACTGTATAACGGATGGCACCCAGATCTGTGCCACATGGCCTGCCACAGTTTCACCAAAGTCAATGTCTGAGGTAAGCGGTAACCGCGTCCAGCGCCAACATAAGCAACGCAATGCGAAATGCATCAGCGGCACAAAATAGTTTGGTTTTGCGGTTGCAGCAGGAAGTAGCAAGGACTCCTCCAGTCTGCAGTCAATAATAATTACTGCTGCAATCGCTAACAACGTGCAACATGTGTATTAACTGAGTTAAGTAATTACAACGGTAAATTAAAATAACAGCAGGTCCCAACTGGGGCAGTTGAATTCAGGACACTTCATATCTATACCTATAATTAAAGATGGTAAACTATAAAAATTAAACAGACTCAGCTAAACTATAACAAAAGAGCAGAAAATTAGTCGAAGAGCAAAGCAAAAGGTCAGAAGATGCAAGCTAAAAGTTAAGCGCAAAGCGTAAAGTGGGAAGTTTATTACAGAAAAATGCAAGAAATAAAAGGGCAAGGAAAGTGAAGTTGGCTCATAATATAGAAGCTGCAAGACAGAACTGTTATTAGAAAGCCAAGGGACATTCAGCTTGATCACTGGAATTTTATTTCTCATTTGTTTTTACAGTTTAAAGTTACTCGCGTTGATTCACTCAATCCGAAAAAAGTCATATAACTATTAAAAATATTCAATGATGTGTTCGACTTAAAGCTTCTCGCTTTAAGCTTCCCCGATCAATTGTAATAGAACTAGTATAACACTGACTTTATTTTACTTACTTACTTTTACGTATTTTTAGTTTATTTATTTCTAGTTTACTTCCAGCTGTCTTAGTGCTATTGAGGGATACTTAATTCATAGTAAACAGTTATTATTTGCTAGAAGATTTTGTATACTGCTAAACCATTATAGAATTCTGTTTATGTCTTTAAATTATATAGCATATGCTTTGCTTTTGCAGTCGTCTGCATTGATTGTCCTTCATGTGGGTTCATTTGACTGTGGCAGAATAGCAAATTCACAGCTAGCAGTCATGCAATTGCTTCCAAAGGGCCACGAATGGGGTAGCTGGAAAAGGTGCTGCCCCATATCCGTGACAAGCATTTGATTTGCAACTAACGACACGACGTTCTTTTATATATATATATATATATACAAACGCCAACTACATATTTGCAATCTTTACGTCGACTGCATGGCTATAAAAATAAATTACACAAAGCTTAAAACTTATGTGCATCGGGAAGAAAAATTGCTTATGGACGCGCAACGAAACAAACGAGTGAAGCGAATGAATTGAACGGCTGGGGGATGCGACGAGAGGCGACCAAATGACCAATCGACCCGACCCTCGAATGCTAACGTTGATGAACGTTATAGCCGCGATTGCTGTTGTTGCCGTGCAATTGGAGCGATCCGAAAATAACTCACATATACTCATACACACGTACAGAAAGAGACTAGGAGAGGGAGGTGGCAGCCGAGAGCTAACGGTAAAGGTAAAGCTTTAAGCCGACAATGAAGACATTAACATGACCAACGACAACGACAGCGTCGACATCGACAAAACTCTATGCCATGGCTCATCACATTAATCTTCTTAATACGCCCATCAATAATTCAAAGCCAAGGCATGACCAGTCCGCAGCAGACCCAACCGAAGACTAAGTGTTTGGCCCAAAAGCTGTTCAAAGTTGTTGCCTCTGTGTCCATATTGTTGTCCACTGTTCGGACACGCAACCATTTACCGACCATTCAACGTTGGCCAAGTGTTGAGTGAATTATGACGCACTGTTCGATTTCAGCTTCGAGTGCCCACCTTCGAGACGAGGCACCGGTCAGGAGGGACAGAGAACTGTTTGTCGTACATCAAAATCAAACTATAACATACAAATATTGAACTCACCCGCATGGCACTTCAAATGGCAACCGACAATGAAACTTTATGGCTCGTTAGCATTTGATTTATGCGCAGCAGCCGAAAAAGCTGCTAGTGTTTTTGACTTGACTAGAAGATACCCTACAACTACTAAGATATACAGTCCAACTCAGAAATTGACTGTGAATATTTGTATACGATTATAATGAAAACAATCGAGTCAGATTATACTTTCTTCTATGTTCGACAGCTTGAATAATACAATATTTAAGTCTTATTATATTCCTTATCATTCCCTACCGCAAGCATAATATGTTCACAGGGTAAAGAAGAGTACTGAAAGAGATTTTAAATCGCGGTTCCGTTGTCCGCTTCTTGCCCGCGTGAATACCTCTGAATGTAATTCTATTTGAATGACATATGCATGACCCATACGCTGGGGCAGACGTGGACTTGGGCTCTGTGGAGGCGCATGTCCATTGTCAATATGACAGCTGCAGGCCACCGGTGCTGAAAAGGCGCCTATGCCCGAACCGCAATCTCCAACCTGCCCATTGTTTCACCTGGACAATGTGGCAGGCAGCATTTCACCTGTGCCGCTTACCCACGACAATTTGGATGGCGTCCATTGGAATTTCTGGTGCAGATTTCGCAGATTCTGACGCCTACTTCGGCGCTCAAGTGCCCCACGTTGAGACCATGCAAATGGCCTTTTGTCCGATTCGACAATTGTTGCCACCATTCAACGTGTTCTCGCAACGTTTCACATGTGTCAAGCCTTCGTTTAACGTTTGGCATTCTGAACTTTTCAGAAGTCTTATCAATTTGGCGCTTAAACGATTCTGATTGTGTCACAGGTCCCAGCCACGAGATAAGCTCTGCATGGCCAGCCCCTATAAATGAGCCCAGCAGCAGTCCGCGTATTTTAGTTTCAATAATTCTTAGGTGAAGACAGAGTAAGTGATAATTGAAATGGAGCAGAAACTTAAGAAACGAAAGAAAAATTTGTGAACCGAAAACAAATAGAAATTAGAAGTGAAAAATAACAATTAATGTGATTCTGTAAACTAATTTGAAGCAGTTTGTTGAGATATATTTCAATAATTAGAACTTATAAGTAATATATATATATGTGTGTGTATAAAAATACATGTACATATGTATATGTGTATATTATTATCAGTGTGTCAACTTTACAAATTTTCTATATACGGTGCCTCTTTGTAACTAACTTCTCAGTTAGCTAGGTCAGCATGCGATTTCGATTAGAAATTGAATACATTATATAGTTTCAATATATATATATATATATATATATGTTTTTTTTGCTTTGTGTAAAAAATTGTACATATATAAGATGTTATATTCTAATTTTTATAGCATATAACTAATAATTTGAAAATATATGAAAATATTGAACTTAAATATATAATTTAAATATTTTTTATATTTTCTATAATCACCTTTTCTTTAAACATGCAATGCTAATCATTTCTTTTTAAATATTTTCAGCAAAACACAATGAACTTTACGTGGTTTGCCGTGCTCATCTTTGCCCTGTTCGCTGTCGTATCGGCTGGCAAATGCCCTGCCAACTTCAAGGCCCAGGGCGGAAACTGTGTTGCCGAACGTCCCATTCACGGCGAGTGCCCCGTTGGCTCCACCTACAAGCTCAATGTTAATGCCTGTGTTTATGGTGCCTAGTTTTGAGCTGAGCTTGATTAAATAAAATGTAATTAAAAGCCAGATGGACGTTGTTTTGATTCAATTAAATTAATCGCTGAATTGCCTTGTTTTCCACAAATTTGATTATCAACTAACCTAATGATCGGCTGATCCCGATTTAAAATAGGGTTGCTATTTTGCAAGGCAGAATTGTAAACAGTAGCCGCTGATAAGTCGGGTGTCGGCTCTATAAAAGCGGATCGTTGACTGGAGATCTGTAAATTGTTGTATTTTACACTTGCTACAGGTGAGAACGGGAGACAGGTGTTTGACTTACGGTAATTGGAATTACTTCACTTAGACAACGACTATGAAATACAACTGTGCTTGGCTTGTGATGATGTTGTTGGCGCTGCTTAGCGGAGCCTGGGGCTCCAGCTGCCCCACCGGCTTCAGCACCGAGAAGAATATCTGCGTCAAGGAGCGACCAGTGCATGGCACCTGTCCGCCTGGGTCCAACTACCAGCTAAATATCAACAAGTGCGTGCATGCCTAAGCTATCTGATATGTGTACATGTTTTATAAATACGAAAACGTTTGCGGCTGATTAAATCTTTGGTGAACAAATCGAATCGAGTCAGGTACAAATCAAAACCCAACTCACACGTCTTTCAGAATTTGGGAATTATGTATAACAGTTCATGACAAGGTTCATAATGCTCGAGCCAATTATTATTGTTGTTGTTGGTCAAAAAGTTCAACAATTGCCGCAAATTAACGAATATGTCATGCAGTTGCTGCTGCTGCTACTGATGGCCAAGAGACGTGCAGATGGACGGACGTGCAGTCGTTGGCCATTAGTTTATTACCATGTAATTGACTCAACGCTTGTCAGACAACGTTGCCGTCAACATCAGCTCCTGCGGCTTTAATGTGCTGCATTTAATGACCAGACACAGACCAATATCCAACACCAACATACACGTCAACAGCGACACCAGCAGCAGTAGCACCAGCTGCTACAACAGCCACGTTGACAGCGCATCAAAGTCAAAGCGGTTTGTCTCTTTGTTCGTCCGTCCATCTGTCTGTCAGACTGGCGTGATTAGCGTGATTGGCTGCCTGCACTCTGAACCCCGCTTATCAACGTGCAATAGAAGCGCCTTAACTTACGTAATCGAACGCCTCAAAGCTTTAGCTGCACATAGCTTGGCTCGGCTTAGTTGAGATGTGTGCGGTTCAGTGGTTCAGCGGCTGCTATAAAATTCATTAAAAACTTTTCCCCACCTCTCTGGCCACTGCGAATGCCTAAAAAGCGGCTGCAACATTTAACAGCAACAGCAGTAGAAAAAGTTTGTCCAAGTCCAAGCTGTCGGCAGGATGTGCAGCAAACCCAATTGCATATGCCAATGTTGCAAAACTTTCCCCGAGCAAAAATGTCCATCCCACTCAACAGTGCTAAAAAACAAGCCAACAAAAAATAAAACGATAGATAAAATCAAATGTAGCTAATTTTCAAGCTATTTCAATATTCTATTAAATGATAATCATATTTTATTTAGAGTTGATAAATTTGATAAAAATTAAATTCTCTTAAATATTTTAGATAGTCAAAAATAATATATTTTTTAAAAATATTTTAAACATAGTTTTATTTAAAGTTTTAGCATTAAAATTTTCCTTTTTTTTAATAAAATATAACAATACTTAATTTTGATACTTTTAAACAATTAATGTAAGCAATAAATTTAGTTAGATATCTGTATTAGCCTGAATGGCAAAATAAAATTTTTTTTCAGAACCATCTAAATCTAGCCGTTAAAAGGCTAGAGCACATTCTATGCCATTGCTGACACCATAAACTCAGATTCTTGTCACTGGGGCTTGTAAATTTCTATGACTTGCATAAAAATGGTCCCCGAATGTTTCCGCCGCTCGGGGTTTCCTTTGGCCTAAAAGTTTTCCGTGCCATGTTGGCAGGCAGGCAGGCAGGCCGGCAGGAAATAAGGAAATGTTTTCAGCAGTAGTATTTGCTGCCTGGCCAGCGACATTTATCAGTCAGTTGTTGCGGCGCTGTCCATGGTGGCTTGTTGGACAATTTTAAAACTGTCACAAGTGGCTAGCACGGTGCTGCCACTGCACCGACCGCATCTTGCCACGTGCATTGCCTTGTGGCGGGCGACAACTGTCAGGCGCTGTTGTTGCCTCAATAGCCACATGCTTCAGTATGCGTTGGTTGAGATAGGAGCAGCGCCTTGCACACTCTACCTTGTCCCTGTTGTTCCTGCAAGTTACGCGCAAATATGACGAACGTAAGCAGTAAAGTTTTGGCCAACTGATAGCCAACACCCACAGAGCTCATGCTGGCCGAAACTTTTGCAAGACGTTGTCGCAAGTTTATGGGCCACATTGCGCTTCCCTCGACTCTACTTGCTTGCTTCTTGGCCGTTGTTACTTTTGTTGTTGGCTGCAGTTCAAGAATGTTGCAATGGTGGGCTTCTTATCGTGCTCGGCTTTGTCCTCAGGCCGGCAGCAAAAAACGAAAGTGTGGCCATAATTTCTGGTTGTTCTACTCTGTTGCTGCTGATGTTGTTGTGGCTGCTCCTTGGACTGCTGCAGCATTACGGCCGGCGTCAAAGTTTATTGATGCTGACGTTGCGAACCTCTTTGCAAACTGCCCTTAAAGCATTCACCATTATAATGATGCTTTGCATTTCCGCTAATGGCTTTTCAGTACAAATCTCAAGTTTTATTTTCTAATTACACTGTGCTACAAATGAGGCGAAGATACGTCCAATACACTTAGCCCCAAATAATATAAAAATTATTTATTATTTATTTAAGAAAATTTAAATAAGTTTCATAATGCAAAACCTAAATTTTTAAATATTTATATATATATATTTTTTTTCTAGTCATTAATAAAACATTTCTGAAATATTTAAAAGCTGCGATTGATAATGATTCAAGCAAATTTCTATAATTTATGTTTGTTTCGTTAAGCTGAGCTAATTTGTTTTTTAAACTTTATTCCATTTTTATACCCTGATCCCATTAAAAATGGGAAATCAGGGTATAATGGTTTTGTGCAAATGTATGTAACAGGCAGAAGGAGGCGTGGCAGACCCCATAAAGTATATATATTCTTGATCAGGACGACAAGCCGAGTCGATTGAGCCCTGTCCGTCTGTCTGTCTGTCCGTCTGTCCGTCTGTCCGTCTGTCCGTATGTGTGAACGCGTGGATCTCAGCATCTATAAGAGCTAGAGATTTGAAATTTTTTTTGTAGGTCCGTGTATAGCACGCGCAGGTCAAGTTTGTTTCAAATATTCGATAACTATTCGCATTTAATTGTTATCGAATAAAAACATTATTGAAATGCAGCAAATAAATTATATCTCGAACGTCTTAAGAGCTAGAGCTTCCAAATTTTGTATTTAGTCTTATGTATATTTTATGCAATTTTGATTTTTGTTGGATTTTGGATACCGGCTCCAAATTCCCCCAAATTCTTAGAATTTAAGTTTAGTTGGAACTAGGGCCATTATGTGAAATGGTCCCCGAATGTTTCCGCCGCTCGGGGTTTCCTTTGGCCTAAAAGTTTTCCGTGCCATGTTGGCAGGCAGGCAGGCAGGCCGGCAGGAAATAAGGAAATGTTTTCAGCAGTAGTATTTGCTGCCTGGCCAGCGACATTTATCAGTCAGTTGTTGCGGCGCTGTCCATGGTGGCTTGTTGGACAATTTTAAAACTGTCACAAGTGGCTAGCACGGTGCTGCCACTGCACCGACCGCATCTTGCCACGTGCATTGCCTTGTGGCGGGCGACAACTGTCAGGCGCTGTTGTTGCCTCAATAGCCACATGCTTCAGTATGCGTTGGTTGAGATAGGAGCAGCGCCTTGCACACTCTACCTTGTCCCTGTTGTTCCTGCAAGTTACGCGCAAATATGACGAACGTAAGCAGTAAAGTTTTGGCCAACTGATAGCCAACACCCACAGAGCTCATGCTGGCCGAAACTTTTGCAAGACGTTGTCGCAAGTTTATGGGCCACATTGCGCTTCCCTCGACTCTACTTGCTTGCTTCTTGGCCGTTGTTACTTTTGTTGTTGGCTGCAGTTCAAGAATGTTGCAATGGTGGGCTTCTTATCGTGCTCGGCTTTGTCCTCAGGCCGGCAGCAAAAAACGAAAGTGTGGCCATAATTTCTGGTTGTTCTACTCTGTTGCTGCTGATGTTGTTGTGGCTGCTCCTTGGACTGCTGCAGCATTACGGCCGGCGTCAAAGTTTATTGATGCTGACGTTGCGAACCTCTTTGCAAACTGCCCTTAAAGCATTCACCATTATAATGATGCTTTGCATTTCCGCTAATGGCTTTTCAGTACAAATCTCAAGTTTTATTTTCTAATTACACTATGCTACAAATGAGGCGAAGATACGTCCAATACACTTAGCCCCAAATAATATAAAAATTATTTATTATTTATTTAAGAAAATTTAAATAAGTTTCATAATGCAAAACCTAAATTTTTAAATATTTATATATATATATTTTTTTTCTAGTCATTAATAAAACATTTCTGAAATATTTAAAAGCTGCGATTGATAATGATTCAAGCAAATTTCTATAATTTATGTTTGTTTCGTTAAGCTGAGCTAATTTGTTTTTTAAACTTTATTCCATTTTTATACCCTGATCCCATTAAAAATGGGAAATCAGGGTATAATGGTTTTGTGCAAATGTATGTAACAGGCAGAAGGAGGCGTGGCAGACCCCATAAAGTATATATATTCTTGATCAGGACGACAAGCCGAGTCGATTGAGCCCTGTCCGTCTGTCTGTCTGTCCGTCTGTCCGTCTGTCCGTCTGTCCGTATGTGTGAACGCGTGGATCTCAGCATCTATAAGAGCTAGAGATTTGAAATTTTTTTTGTAGGTCCGTGTATAGCACGCGCAGGTCAAGTTTGTTTCAAATATTCGATAACTATTCGCATTTAATTGTTATCGAATAAAAACATTATTGAAATGCAGCAAATAAATTATATTTCGAACGTCTTAAGAGCTAGAGCTTCCAAATTTTGTATTTAGTCTTATGTATATTTTATGCAATTTTGATTTTTGTTGGATTTTGGATACCGGCTCCAAATTCCCCCAAATTCTTAGAATTTAAGTTTAGTTGGAACTAGGGCCATTATGTGAAGGCGTTTGCATCTCAACCAAGCCAATAGGATATGTAGATCATATGCTGAAAATTTCATTAAAATCTATTAAGTAAAACAGAAGTTATTAAACAAAACGTTTGGCCACTTTGCAAAAGCACATGTCAGCAGCGCCACGCGCACGCATTTTTCCTATGCGTGTGCACACATACATTCAAATGCGTGCATTCTTTTCTATTCCAAGAATTGAAATTGCGATTGAATTGTGCTGAATTATTAGCTGCTACTTATGTTCAAATTTGCAACATCTCGCATAAGAAGGGAAGTGGCTGCGTTGGTAGAGGCGCCGCTCGTATGCAGCTTGGGCCGGGTTCGAGACCAGTGGAGATGAAATGTTTTTTATTGTTCTATTTTTTTTTTTAGTTATGAAGTGGCGGTGTTGGTAGAGTTTGTGCACGTTGCGCAAATAATCCGGGTTCGAATCCTGGTCTCGCAATGTCGATTTTT